AAAAAAAGCTGCTCAACAGCATCACAATCTTCAAAGGTTATAGTTAGGTTAACTAGCACGTTGTAATCCTACACGTGTTTGTCTTGATGTATTTTTGAGTAAATACCTGTTGAATTGAAGAAATTTATAAATGGGATGATGCGATTGGGTCTTTTGCATTCCCTTTGCGAGCCACGTGGCACCATGCTCGTCTGCGAACATCTCACCTGCACGACATTTGCGAATATAGTGCATTCGTTCCATGTGCGACAGCTGAAAATATAAATGTCAATGTCATTTTGCATATGTAAAGTGCGGCAAAATAGCTATTAACAGAAGCAGTTTGCACCTTCACAGAACTTGTTAAATGACTGATATTGAATCACGCCTCTGAGTATACTAGATTGCGCAAAAATCGTTACCATTTTCAAAAAATCGTAACTTTTCGATCTATGAGCTATTGCTCTATGTTAATATTATTCAAAAAAGAAGTGTTTTCTATAGTGATATCTTAGTGGCTTTCCATTATGCACAGTTGCACATGTAGAAAGAAAGGACAGAAAAGAATCAAATTTCGATTTTACTGGTTTGGTTGTAAAAAATCAGTTCCTGCAGTGAAATCCTGAGCATGTATTATGCATTTTGTTGCCCGCTCTTTCCATTTGAGTAAAGTTTGCACAGATTGTGTGTTTCCATGATGATATTAAAGTAAGAAGAGAAAAAAAATCAAATTCAGTTATGCACCGCTTGCCCTATTACTCTTTCTGGACACATGCAATCACCTTCAGACTTTGCTCAATCAAGAAAAAGCATGCGTTAGAAGCTATACCAAACGAGTGGATTATTGTCGCGATTCAGATGATTTACAACCAAACTCAAAAAATGAAAATGAAAATTGAATAATTTTCATCTATGGCTTCTAACTAAGCAATCTATGCATGACGAGTCCCCCAAGGCATCGTTATGAAAAACAAGACTTCTTTACAGAATGAATCAAAAAACCACTCTTTTCCTAAAGATTGAAAAGTAATGAAGTTAAAAATGCAAACGAACTATTGCACCAACTGAATAACATGAATTATAGTAACGTACCCCACGACGACGATTTCTGCGAACCATTCCTTCCCATGCGTAAGTGCAGCGAGTAGGTGTAGTGCTGCCAAAAACCACAAATTCTCCAGCGATCTCAGGATTTCGCATTCGGACATTACGTCGCAAGAACAAGCGACCTAAATAAAACTTCGATAAATACCAGGAATCAAACAAAGCAGTAACAATTACTTACTTCGTTTCATCGCAGTGGATATGCTTGTGGATGATTGCGGGCCACCAGAATTCACATCCGTTCTGTTCCTTTTAGAAAGGCCATTTGGTTTCATCGCTTCTACGCTGCCGTTTTGACGGCGGTGTTCTTCATCAGTGGACTTGACAAAATAAATACTTTGTAATAAGGAAATAAGGAAGCAAGAAAAAAGGAGATGTTGATCACCTCATGAAGTTCCGATTCATCATCACTGCTGGCTCCTGGTGCAACATTCTCACTGGCCTGGGCAGGCTCTTCTTGGGTTTCTTCCTTGAAAAAAAAAACAAATGGTAAAATCTCTTTTACCAAAGCAAGAACGACTCACTTCTGTTTCCGTATCTACAAGCTCTATTGTGACAACGGGTTTCTTCTCATAGATTACAAAAATCTTGAAACAGTTCTGACAATTAAAGAAAGTCTCAGCCGATCGTGCATACTCTTCCTCTGTCCTGAGAACGGATGTATTGCAAATTTCAATCAAACAGACAAAAATGCTGAATACTTTGTCTTCTTTTGGGATTGGCTAAAAACTGAAATTGGCTTCTCATAGCGGTACTTCTG